AAGAAGAAAAAAAAAGAAACAAAACACCCCACAAACAATTTGTCATCCTCTTCAAATTCACATGAAAGTAGTGCGAGGGCTCCAGGCAGGCACCTGCTCTGGGGAGGAGGGCAGGGCACTGGCAGGGGGCTCCCCCGGGTACTTCTGGAGAGTCGTGTCCAAGGTAGGTTGGTCCTGTGGTTCTGATGCCAGCTCTGTGTGCCAGATGAGTGGAGCAATCCCAGACATCTCGGCTGTTGGAGGGGATTCATGGTGACTTCCCCGGCTCCATGGCCCTGCCAGGCTGTGTGAAGGCCACATCTCGCCCTGCTGTGGCCCACCAGATGTGGGGGTAGGTGGGCTCGCTGCTCCTTCTGAACAGCGCCAGGCAGTGGAGAAGGTTGGGAGGGGACGCTGGACCCAGTGCTGGTTGCTGTTGAATCTGTGATTGGAGCAACTTCCCCCTGCACAGAATCTCTACATTAATTTATTTCATGAAGGCGTAATATTTATTGTTTGGGGGACTCTTTCTTTCTACCTTTAAATTAATTTCCGTATTAAAAAAAAATAAAATGCTGGCCTCCATCATGCAGTGGTCGCTTGTTGGGTTGTCTGTGTGGGGAGAAGCAGCTGGTTGACAAAGGCATAGCCTAGAAGCGGGGCCAGCTGCGGAGGTTGCCTGTAGCTGATCTGTGTCGCGTTGGCTGGATGTGCCCCATGGGGGGATTGTCCCAGAGCAGGGAGGAGCTGCTCCGGGTGTTTTGCAGCAGCCGGAGGGAGGATGGAGTCCTCTTGTCATGTCGGGGCAGGTGGAGGAGCATGTGTGGAAGCCTCCGGTGCTCATTCCCAGGGAGGAGGAGGGCTGAGAGGTGTGCGGAGCTGGGAAGGCCGAGCTCCTGCCGGGGAATTGCCTTTCCTCGCACGAGGAACGGCACTCAGCCCAGCTCTGCTGTTCCCCACACGTCGGCAGAGGTTGGCCCTAGCCCCGACAGCGACCGCGCTGGCTGCTCGCCTCGGCGCCAGGGCCCCTAAGGACAGGCTGGGCTACCCAAATGCAGCTGGACTTGGTGTGTGTGACTCTGTGTGTGAATGCGTTAGGATGGAGACTTGAAATCCAGCAACCTCTGTGTCACATCTGGGTGTCACCAGGCAGGAGATGCGCTCGCCCGTGTGGGATGTCCCTGGAGCGTGGCCGGGACCGTGGAGCAGTGGTAGCCTGTAGGGGTCTTCCTTGGCCAGGGAAGCTGCAGTCGCTGGTGTTTGCTGGGACCAACTGGGTGTAGGAAAGGGCAGGATGTCCTGACATCCTCCATCAAAGGGGTGCTGGAAGATGGGGACCTCCCTTCCTGAGCGAGAGAGAGGGGTGTGTATGCACGCGTGTGTTACAAAAACATAATAAAAAATGTTACGGGGCTTTCCTAGTGTCTTTCTCTGTTTAATGGACATTGTCTGTCAAACATAACCACACCATTCATAGAAGCCTTAGATCAACAGTTTAGCTATGCAAATTATTTTAATTATTTTTTTTAAAAAAAAACAAACATTAAAATAGTGCTTTCTTCTTTAACATATCCTAGGAGTTGAAAACCGAGGGGTTCTGAGCAAACTGCTGGACAACTTGTCTTTGGATGCACCATGGAAATAAAAATCAAACCCCCCCACAAAAGTAACAAAGCAAATTAACTGATGGTGTTCATGCAAGTTTCTCCAAAGACTTGACAGTGCTGCGTCTGTGAGTCATGCCCTCCTGTGCTCTGTGTGTCCGCCTCATGCACAACCCTGTGACACTGATTGTATGACGAGCTTGCCCAGATGTCCGTTGTATCCCTGTGAGGCTGTCAGTTTTCCGGTGGATTTGGGGAATGGACCTAGGCAAGGGCTTTCCTTGTCGAGAGTAGCAAGTGTTGAGACCTTGCGGGCGCGTGGGGGAGGCCGGAGCGGGAGCAGACCAGAGCCCTGCCCCAGCCCCTGTCCTCGCTGGTGGTGGTCAGCGTGGTGGGGCTCATCCCAGGGAGCCTCCCGAGTCCTCTCTGATCAGGGTTTTTCTGTGGCTCTGTGCTGGGACGAGGCATGGAGAGTGGGCTGGGGGCAGTTGGCACTGCGGCTCTGATGCGGTACCTGTGACTGCACACCGTTTTCTCTGCTCCTTGCCTTGCCAGGAGAGCACCCGGGACTTCCTGAGCAGGCCCTGATGCAGCCCTGTGCTGCTGTCTGATGTCCTCCCAGGGGTCTCCGGGACACAGCCCGACCGTGTGACCGTAGGAGCTGGAGGCGGCCGGTGCTCGGCTGCCGCAGGGCACACGGGCCATCTGTTAACCTCCCCGCAGCAGGGCGAGGGGTGAGGGCTCTCCCAGCTCCTGCGTGGCCATGGTGGCTCGGAGACCCCTCACTGCCCTCCCATGGTGCGGCTGCCCCCAGATGTGACCTGCTGCGAGGGGCTTCCTCTTGCTGGCAAGCATCTGTGGATCAGGGCAACCACAGCACGGTGTCCCTGCTCAGCAGGTACCCGAGCGGAGCCCCAACCATCCTCCCTGGGTACCGGGGGGTGGTGTGGCACCTCTCTGCCCCACGTACCAGCCCCAAGCACCCCCTTAGCAAGGGACCGGCCCCCTCAGAGCCATGGCTGAGAGGTGGTGGCAGAGAGCACCGTGATGCAGCGGCCTTGAGGGCTGGCGGTGACGGGGGCTGCTCTAAGGCAAGCGGAAGGACCTGCTCTTCCACGGTGCTGTGGGAAGGATTTCCTCCACCCCACAGAAGCCACAAGGGTGTGCGAGTTAGCCAGGGGGCTTTCCAAGTTGGGAGACCTCTCAGAGCCCTAAAACTCCTCTCCCGTGGGACTCCCCTCTCCCTCATCTGCCCTCCCCAGGCTTCTCTTCAGCACATGGTTCTGCTGTAGAGGTTCTCCACATCTCGGTTCTCCTGAGCCTGGAACGGGGGCTTTCCCTGCACGGGTTAATTTTTTTCTTTTGCTGCTGAATTTCTGTCTCCGAATGGCTGGACGGAAGCAGCTGCCAGTTGGCGGCCAGCGGGGCTGCGGGTGACACTGAGGACAGCAGTGTGGGACTCTCCGCTGAGGTTTTTGGACACTAAGGAAGATAATTTGGAGCACAGCCCCGAGGCTGGGGCAGAGCCCGCTGCCCTGCACCTCGGCACCCAGCCCTCGCCCCTTCCCTTAGGTGCGGGGATTCCGCTCCCGGGGACAGTCGGGCGAAGGCTGGGTACCGCTGTGGGACATGGTGGCACGGGGATGGCCGTGGCTGCTGCGTGCCCGGGACTCGGTGGTCTTGTGGTCGGCTGCGGGGTGGGGGCAACACAGCCCAGCCTTGGCCCGTGGAGGATCTGCTGCACGTTTGCCCCCTTCCTCCCCAGGACACCTGGGAGGGTGATGGGGTGGATGGGGGTACTCACAGAAAGCAAATATTCTGGCATTTCCACGGGGCTTCTCTAGAAATGATGTGTATTTTGGCTTAATGATGTCAGCAAATGGCGTAACGCGAGAGAATTGCTGTTGGTTTGCAGATGGCTTCCAGGCCAAAAGGGACGAGTACAGCAAAATACCTTCACCACTGGTGTTTCTCGCCACTCTGGGATGAATTTTGTTACTCCAGTTAGTCCAGCTAGGTTCCAGTGAGATGATGGCTCCTGGCAACTCGGAGCAAGCGCTCCCTTCCAAGGGACGACGGTGCGAGTGAGGGAGAGCCAACCTCTGCCGCCTCCCGACCGCCGCCACCGTGCACGGCCGCGCTGCTGCTCCGTGGCACCCGGCTCGGAGCTGGCGTCTCTGGCAGATCCACAGGAGCCTGAAGAAATCCATCGCTGAGTCTCATTTGGGGTTTTCTGTTGTTTTGGGGTTCTTTTTTTTTCTTCTTCTTATTTTTTTTCTTTTCTTTTCTTTTTTACTACCGCCTTAGTTTGTGGCCTGTCTTTTTGTGGTTGGAAAGAGGAGTATCGCTAGCAGGGTGGGTCGGTCGGTTGGCCCCACGCATGATCATGTGCTTCCCTCTTCTCTCTGTCGAACGGGATGTGCTCGCCTGATCTCCCAGAGCAGAGACTTTGAACAATTTGTTGTTTATATGATGTATTTATTTTTACTTGTGTTTCATGTCATTTTTTAAAAAAATAATAAATTGTAAGTTGGTATAACTGCCTGTTGTTTCTCTCTCTTTTTTTTTTCTTTTTTTTTTTTTTGTGGAACATAAAAACTTTAAAATTGTGGTGTGGTTTGAAGGGGATGGGAGCTGGGCTGGGCACGGGCATCTCTGCGAACCCCAGGTGCCCCACTGCCGGAGCCCGGGCTCAGCAAGTGGCCGTGTCCTGCTGCCTCCAGTGGCATTTGGGCTCCCGCTGGTGCCTCCGCAGCCGCCCTGGTGGGCATCACGCCGGGGCGCCGCGGCTGCAGCAAGGAGTCTGCCGCCTCCGGAGGGGAGGGAGACCGGCTGCACGGAGGTCTGTGGACGCTGCCGGGTGTCAGAGAACCGTTTGTGAGAGCTGGCTGTTTCCCTGCTCTCTGCTTATCGATTCTGCTGATGGCGATCATCATTAGGGGCCGGGGGAAAACAAGGAGAATAAATATTCTGCAGGGTGTAAATAGCTTTGAGTCTCGGAGAGCCGGTGTGGGCTGTGCGCCCTCGCCCCGGCGTGCCCCCGTGGGGCCTGTGGAGATGCAGCGGGGACTGGCGGGGTTTGAGGTAGTAACAGCGAGGCGTTTCTGCACGGGAAGCTGAGAGGTGTCTCGGAGCTGATGCCGGCGTGCCAGAAGGGCCCTGGGAGAGACCGAGAAGAGAGCTGCGGGCGGTCCCGGCTCCCTCTGCCCCCTCACAGGGGCTGGGGGTGCCTCCGCACACGGCCGCTCTTGCTGTCCGGCGACGGGTGCTGCCATTTCTGGTGCCAGGCTTTCTGCCGCTGCCTTTCCTGGTGCCGCAGGGCGTTGCAGTAGACATCCAGGCTGGTGCCCGGTGCCCCCAGGGCCCGCGGGAAGCCCTTGTAGCCCGGGTGGAGGTCAATCCGGGGCCGGGGGCTCTGGTGGGTCCCTCCCAGCTCGGCCCCCTTGCTCCGTTTGTAAGGTGGCACCTCCATGGCCTCCTGCCTGATGACGCGGAGGCTGTACCGGGTGAGGGGACGGGAGAAGGAGCGCTCCACCGCCTGGCACTCGTAGGTGCCCGCGTCCTCCCTCGACAGCTGGCGGATCAGCAGCCCTTGCTCCAGCACTGAGAAGTGGCCGTTGTTCCTCACCTGGGGCAAAGCGCGGAGCACCGTGGGTCAGTCCCGGGGACCGAGCCACCCCTGCGCCTCGTCCCCACCGTCCCCTGTCCCCTGTACCTCGCTCAGGCCCATCTCCTCGCCGTGCCGCACCAGCCACCGGACGGTCGTCTGCGGGGAGCGCGCCAGGCACTCGAGGAAGGTTGAGTTCTTCTCCACCCCAAAAACCAGCTTCTCCACGGCGGCGGTCCCTGTGCAGGGGATGGGACAGAAGAAGGGGTGAGTACCCCGTGTGGGAGCTGTGTGACAGGCGGGGAGGGAGGGCAGCAGGGAGCATCCTGCACAGGGTCTGTGGTGGATGGTGCTGGTGGGCACTGGTGTCCCAGCGCCGTGCCACCCGCTGTCCTGGGCATTGCTGTCCCCCGGGCTGAGCTGGCTGCCCACCCTGGGGCTCCTCGGAGGGGCTGGGGCTGGCGCTCACCCTCTGCGGTGTCCTGGCACTGGCTGAGCGGGTCAGACTTCAGCACGTCCTGGCAGCGGGCACGCCTGTGGGACAGCAGACAGGGCTGCGGGGTGGCACTCACCGTGGGCCCCTCCACACCAGAGCACCCAGGCAGAAGGGGAGGGCTGGGGGACCGGCCGGCACGTCTGGGCTGACGGACGAAGCTCCAGGGCCGGCGGTTTGCCCTTCCCTGCTCCGAAGGCCATCCCCTTGCAGGGGGACAGCGGGGCTGGCCCGGGCAGACGCTCACCTCTTCTCGGTGAACATGTGTGGGGCGCAGGTCCTGCCGTCCCAGGTGCAGTAGGGGTCCCTGGCCAGGCAGCAGTCGGTGCAGGTTTTGCCGTAGAGCTCGCAGCGGTACAGGGAGAGCTGGAGCAGCCCGTGGGTGCTGCTCACAAACAGCTCCTGCTGCACGGGCGAGCAGAAGGGCGGCAGTCAGTACCCCCCCGGCAGCAGCCCGTTCCCTAAATGAGCAAGCCCAGGGGACCCGGGCAGAGGGGCTGGGGCCAGCCACCCTCTGTGCCCTCTCCCTCAGCTGCTCCGCGAAGAAGCAGGAGGGAGGAACAACCCCCTTCGGTTGGAGGGGAGAAGGCAGCCATGTCGGTCCCTCCCGGGTGCCCTACCCTGCCCGTGGGGCCGGGACCCCGGGGTGGTGGGGCGGTAGGACCCTGGTCCAGCTCCCTGGTCCCAGCTCCACCTGCTCCATGCAAGCAGCCGTGCTGTCACACCTGGGCTCAGCCCTTCCGTTTTAGGTCAGGCTCTGGTGTGCCACCTCCACCCCCCCTAGGGACTGGATGGGGAGCTGGGAGATGACTTGGCTGCCATCCCCCGGGCTCCACCTCCATGCTAACGGCGTGGCCTGTGGGTCAGGGCAGGTGGGAGCCACCAGTAGTGAGGTGAGGGACCTCCCTGATAGAGGACAGGGACTTGCTGCAGGAGCCTGTGAGGAGGGAGCCACAGGGTGATGGGAGGCTACATTGTCCAGCCCGGCCTGGAGTCCCATACCTTAGTGACGCCAACCTCCTCCAGGCTGATCACCTCGGTGCCACGGCTCCCCCCGCCGGCCAGCCCCACCTTCAGGACTTTACCATCATCTGTGAACGCAGCGGGAGAAGGAGCTGTCAGGGCTGGGAGCCACTCAAGCCAACGGCACCGATGTGCCACGCAAGCTGCCCTGCGGTGGCAGCGTCCCCAAAGCTGGGGTGAGTTCCCACCTGTGCCGAGGAAGAGCACGTCATAGTGCCGGCTCTCCATCTCCAGCCGGTGCACCAGCAGCCGCCGCAGCCGGTAAGGGGGACCCTCACCAGGACGGGCTGGCGGCCCTGCGGGTACACGGGCTCCCACATCAGCTGGTGGGCGCGCATGAAGCTGATCACCTCGTCGGGGAAGTCCTTGGTGGACTGCAGGAGGGGGTCGTACGTCTCACTGGGGCACTGTGTGGCAACACCGGGGGACCACGTGAGGGCCAGGCCAGCCCATCCCGCTCCCCCCCACCCTGGACCCCAGCCCCTTACCGTGCCGGGACGGGGATAGGGGACACGGCCCTTGTATTCTACCCAACGGTAGTCGAATCCCTCCTTGTGTGCAAAGGGGCCGCTGAAGGCAGCTCTCACGGCAGCCATGGAGTAGACGCAGACGGCAGAGCCACTGAAGACACCACTGCGAGGGGAGCGCGGGGCTGTCAGTGTCCCTGCTGCTCCGCGGGGACCAGGCGCACGCACACCCATGCGCCCGAGCCCACGCTGTCCCCTGGCAGCCCGGGAGTCATGCACGGCACCCAGGGGGTGACAAGAATCCCTTTGGCACAGCCAGTCCAGCCTGGGGGACTGCTGGCTGTGCCGATGCCAAACCTGGTGGTTTGGCCAACGGGCTGGTGAACCAGCAGCAGGGAGAGCAGTGAGATGGCCGGTAGCCCTTCCTCTCCCAGCTGGGTGCTGGTCCTGCCCTTCTCCCCCCCAGGGCTCCCTGGGGGGCAGAAGTGGTGAGGAACTGGGGGAAACTGCCCCAGGCAGGGGCTGGCCAGAGCCCCGCTCACCTGGAGACGGTGAAGAGGCCGAAGACGAGGGGGTTCTGGGGGTCCCTGGTGCGCAGGAGAAAAACATCCTCTGGAAAGAGAGGGGTGGAGGTGAGGCACCGGGGAGCTGGAGGGCAGGTCCAGGGGGTGCAGGCGGGCATCTGCGACGCTGTGCCCACCTCCCTGGCTGTACGGGAAGGAGCAGCGGTGGAGGAGCAGCGTTGCTCCCAGCTGCGGCTGGGCTGTGCACTCACCGAGCTGGTCGAAGTGGGTCTCGGTGCCCTGGGGCCCGGGGATGGAGCACACCAGGCGGGGCTTGGGGAACGTGCTCCAGCGGTTGATGAGGCTGCGCTTCCCTCCGACATCGTTCTGCCGGGCATCAAGAGCCGGGCTCAGCCCAGCCTCTCCAAGCCTCCCCCACCCCATAGCAGGACACCCCTAGCCCTGAGCCCTCTGATCTGTGGTGGAGGTGTGGTGACAGCCCCATGCCTTATGTTGGCCCCTGTTTGGGATGCCTCATGGCCCAGAAGAGGTGAAAGCCCACATGGCGGGACACCCAGCCACAGCATGCTGACCTTTGGTGACTGACCTTGCAGACCCGGGCCACCCTGGCGTGGATGTGCCGCCTCTCCCACTGCCCAGCTTCCATGGCCGTCTCGCGGAAGAAGACGTAGACCTTGTCATCGTGTGGGTTGTAGGTATCAGGGATGGCATAGGCGCCAACGAACGCGGGCTCTGCAGGGGGAAGGAGCAGCACGACATGGCCCTGTGCCCTGATCTGACCCTGATGTACTGCCCTTGGAAGCCCTCGGGAGCAGTGTGAGACCCTGAGGGTACGCAGAGTGCCCTGTGGGGACCCTGCTACCCAGAAGGCAGAGCCCCACTCCTGGTGCTCAGGCTGCAGAGTGCATGCTGGAGCACGGGTCCCACCAGAAGCTTCATCAGTGCTTCCCCCCGGAGAGAAGGGGTCGAGACCACTGAGCTCCGGAGCCCCTCGCGCCCCACGGGTCTCCCTGCTCCTACCGTGTAGCCAGTGGTCCTGGTTCTGCTCTGTCCGGATGTAGCTCTGCTCGGCCCCACGGACCCAGGTGCGGAAGAAGGCAGCACTGCTGCCCATGAAGTCGCTGGAGGTGCCCGAATACAGCTCCCCATCTGCGGGGTCAGACGGAGAGTGGGTGAGTTGGGGTGTCACTGCTGGAGGTTCCCTGGCAGGACACCCCTGTGTCCTCAGAGACTCGGGGAGAGCGGAGGTGGCACAGCCTGGCTGGGAGCCTCCTCCAGACCCGTGACCCAGCATGGCTTCTGGCCCCACACCCACCCAGCCCTTCCACAGCACCGGTACGAGGTGAGCAGGCTGGTGCCCCCGCACACCCCCACTCAATCTGCACCCCACATTCGCTATTCTGGGCAGAAACCACGAGGTCGGGGTGAGCCGGGGCAGGACCAGGCTCTGCAGGATGGCTCCTCTCACACGTACCCGCTCGGGCAGCACCACAGGACCGCAGCCGTGCACAGCACAGCAGGGCACAGGCACCGCTGCCAGCACAGACCGTTCCCAACGCTCCCACCTTCCAGCATCCCCTCTGCTCCCTGCTCCCTCTTACCGATGAGGAGCCCCGTGAAGGGTTCGTGGGGGCTGTACGGGCACCGTCCTCGCCCCGATTCCAAGGAGTGGGTCACCAACCTCATGGGGGGAGCCCCGGGACCCTGCCAGAGCCAAAGGGGAGATGTCAGCCCAGGGGGAGGCTGGAAACAAGCTGGGCATGTGGAGAAGAGTGGGAAGGAGGCCAGTGTGCCCGGCTCTGCAGTGAGCAGATCGTGGTCCTGTCCCCATGGGGCAACCTGGCAGTGCCAAGCTGGGGCTACTACTCGCCACACACAGCAAAGTCATGCAGGTGGCAGGGACTGTGCCAGGCTGGCTGGACTCCCTCCCCAGGCTCTGGGGTTCCCTCTCCCCCCCACTGGCTGCATGGGTCTCTCTTGCCACCTTCTGCAGTGGGGACATGGCTGGCCGGGGTGTCCCTCACCTTCCCCCTGGCTGCCAGCTGGATGAAGGCGCAAACGGGTTGGTAGGAGCCGGTGCCGCAGGCGAACACGTGGGTCCTGTTGAAGGGTTGGAGGAGGCGGATGAAGTTGGCACACTCCGTCTGCTCGAGGGGAGATGTTTGTTAGTGGGCTGAGCCCAGGCCCGGGCGCCCGTGCCCAGCCCCATGGCGTGGCTGCTCGGGATGCGGGAGCCTGGCCAGATCCTGCGCCGCGAGTTGGCAAGCTGAGCTTAACTCTGGCCGGCTCGACACCCTTCTCTTAGGCAGACCCCCATGCTCCCTTTCGGGGTGATGTGGGTGCTTAAAATACCCGTGGCAAACCGCAAAAGGCCGTGAGCCGGGGGCTGCCGGCCCTGCTTACCTCCACGTTCTTCCCGGCCAGCTGGCAATGCTCAACCTGCTCCCTGGGGGCTGGCCAGAAAATCTGCAACACAGAGACCCCCCACCAATGCAGCCCCCGCTTTCCTTCCCCTGCCTGGCTCAGCTGGCTCCCCCAGCCACCGGTGGGAACGGGCTCGGCCAAAACCTGCCACCAGGCTCAGGGGCACGGTGAGGACACGGGGCTGCTCTGTGATGGGGTCCGACACCCCCTTTGGGTCCCCAGGGCCTGTCCCAGCCCAGCAGGCAGCCTGCCAAAGAGGCTCATAGAGAACCTGGCGCGGGGACAGAGCCTGGGTGGGCCACGGCACGCCCCGGTGGTGGGCAGGCTCTGCTGGATCCCGGCCCGTGGGAACGCCAGGCTGCGGCGCCTTAATGGGCTTTCCTTTTGTCGGGCTTGAGCTGCGCACCCTGCCAGCAGGATGTCTTGGGATGACATTAGCCGACCCGCTGCTTGGAGTTGTTTTAGCTCCTGCAGCAGCGGCAGGGACTAGGTGTGATGGCAGGGCTCCGGGCACTGCCCTTCCACCTCACCCGGGGTCCACCTAGGTCTCCTCTCCTCGCCAGGCCGCCCTGTCCCTCCCCTGGCGTCACCCTGTCCCCGCAGGGGTCAACACCGCCAGGGAGGGGTTGACCCCACTGATTGAGACATCCTGGTGTAAATGTGTCCCTGGTGATGTTGCACCAGCCCAGCTGGGAGAACATCCATCCCCACGCCCCGGCATGGGAATGAGGAGCGGCTCCCAGGGAGGAAGGGACCAGCCTGGACAGGGTCACGCTCACACCCTCCTCCCAGCACTGACCTTCTCGGGCTCTCTGCTGGGATGGTCCAGGTGGAGCAGGAAGATGTGGTTTTTTGCTCCCACCATCAGCCAGGCCCTGTCTTCATCCACCAAAAGGGCTTGGAAATCCAGCCCATCCCCTGAGGCCAGCAACAGGCGAGAGCTGTTGGATTTCAGCAGATCTGAGGAGCACAAGGTGGGAGAAAGAGAAACCCTTCCATGAACGACACAACAAGCAGCCAGAGGCCCCATGCTCCCCTTCTGCGGGACAGCGCTGGCTCCCCACCCCTGCCCCAAGGACACGCAGCTTTCCTGCCACTGCCTTCTCAGAAAAACACCACCCGTGGTGCTCCAAAGCTCATCATGAAGCCGCCTATCTGGAGGAAACAGTGAGTCACTCCTACAAAGAAGAAAACTACCCTGACCTTGCCCTGGGCTGGTTTGGAGGCTTGGGGCAGGACAGCGGTCCAGCCTGAGGAGCAAAGGTTGCTCAGCTTCCAGCCTGCCTTTCAGAGGACCTCTTGGAGCCCCAAAGCCTCTGCACCCCAGAACTGTGGGGAGAAGGCTGACAACACAGGAGACTCGCTTGCCATGGCTCCCAGAATGTTTTCCCTGGGCTTCGGATTGAGAGAGTTGATATAAAAAAGATTTTGGCTATTTTCTGGGGCAAAGCATCCCTCCAAGGAAAGGCTGTGTGGAAACACAGCCACCACAGCCCAGGCTGGGCACTTCTCTCCTCCGTCCGTCCCTGAGCCTTTTCAGCTGTGAAGTGTCTCTTGGCTGCTGGGCTTTAGCCCAAGCACCAGGACAGACAGACAGATGGATGTCCAATCCCCGGCCCAAAGATCTTGTAAGGGAAGTCCCCCGCTGCCTCCGGTGCTGCTCTGACCCTGCTTCTGCCACCCCACGTTTTGTACCCCCTCTCATCCTGAGAGACAGCCTAAACCCGGCATTAGACCGGCTCAGGAAAAGGGCTTTTCAGAGCACCCCTTTGGCACTGCTGGAGTGAAGAGCCACCTCGCCGAGGGGGAAAGTGTGCCATGGACCCCACCATGGATGTGGCAGGGCAGCAGGGAAGGTTCTGCTGTTCAGCCTGTAGCTGCTCCTGCGCAGAAGCCCGGGGGCGGCTACCAGAGCCCCTCCGGCACCGTTGCAGGCGTGTGGGTGTGAGAGAGAGAGAGAGAATAAGCTCTTGTCTCTTGGTTCACCGCTCCTGAAACAACATCCCCGGGGCCTGCATCAGTCCGTGACGTGCAGCACCAGGTTTTGGGGTCGGCTGCCGGGACGAGCATCCCCCAGCATGGCAGGGGTGGCCACTGCACCGGACACGGGATCACCACAGCAGCCGCCCCGGCGAACGCCTGCTCCCAGGGATCAAGGAGACCGGCACCGAGGTGCGCCTCAGAGCTTCCAGAAGTCATAACACATCAGTTTCCTCTTCAAAAGTGGCAGGATCTGGCTAAGGAGAGGGTGATGGCTGGCCGCGCTGGCAAGGCTGCTCTTGGCTCTGGTGCTGTGCAGGGAACAGTGCAAAACCAGGGCCACGGGAAGGGGAGACGGAGATGGGCTGCTGCTGGATGGGGACTGGAGGGATACGAAGTGTGGCTGGAAACCTGGGGTGGTCTGTAAGACCCAGGCTGAGAAATTACCCAAAATTGAAGCAGTGTGTCAGGAACGGAGGGAGGGAAGCTGTTAAAGGGAGCCGGTGCTGGCCGGGCAGATGGGAGCGTGGGCGGCCATGCGGCCCCGGGCGCAGGTGGGGCGTACGTGGGGACGGGCACGGCTCCGCTCAAAGGGGACCAGCTGCCCCGGGAGGTTGCGTCTCTCTTCCTTCCACCCCGTTTCCAGGCCAGAGGGGAAGCGGGGCCAGTGCCTGCGAGCTGGAAATGCCACTGACGTCCGCTCGTCCCAGCGAGGAAGGACCTGCTGGGCCGCAGGCAGGGGTCCCTGCCCGGATCCACGCCGCCACAGCCAGTCCCGCTCCCAGCTAGCGTTTCCTTCTCCCCTTCCTCCAGGGTCAGAGCTCCAGTTACCTCGGGACACACATCCCCCTCTCCCCAGCTGTGTCGGGGAGCTCCTGGCTCTCCTCCTGCTCCCACAGAAGTTGTGCGCAGCCCCACTTCACTCCCCGCTGTCCCTCGGGTTTCCCAAGGGGTGCCATGGACACGGTGGGGGCAGCTTTCCAAGCCATTTCCCACCAGCTAAATGGGATTAACAGCTGAATTCCTGTCCCTGCCTGTGGGCCACTGTCACCTCTGGGTCCCCAGCGGTCTGCTGCGCATTGCCCACCCTCCCACGTCTGCCCACACCCCCGGGACCGGCCGGATCCCGGGGGAAATGTCCGGCAGGGTGCTGGGGAGTCAGGCTGGGGTGGGAGGGAAGGTCAAAGTTTCACCCAATACATGGCTGTAATTAAGCAGAGTGGGGCAAGGCTGGTCCCAGGGAACATCACCCACTGGTCACTCTCTGACCTGCCGTGTCCCCATCTGAGGACAAGGTGAGGCGGGATGATGGAGGAGCCCTCCCTGCCGCTGTGATAGCGCGTGGGAGGACCCAGGAAGGACTCACTGCCCTGCACTTGCACCATGAGACCTCCGGTAGCATTAATGACCATGGGGGTCTCAGACTGACTCTGTGGCACAGTTCGGCTCCCTCACCAAGGGGATGTCACGTGCTGTGGATCCAGACCCTGTATGCAGAAGCTGCTGCACACAAACCAGCCTCTTGCCCCGAGTCCGTCTACGTGCACAAGGCATTTGACACAAGCCCCGACCCTCGAGGCAGGGAACCGGGCGGTCTCTGCGGCAGCTGCGGGGTGGCTAAACTGATGGCTGAGCCCGGAGAAACATCCTCTCCTTTGTGTTCATTATCTCCCAAGGCCACGGTGTTTTTCTTTATTGTCGGGGCCACTGTAACCGCCTTGTCCCATCCATCATCTCCGCCTGCCCCTTAGCCGCAGCATCCTCAGTGCAGGGCGACCCTGGGCTTCCTGGGGTCACAGCCCGGCTGTGGTGGGGGGCTCTCCTCTCCCCTTCCCCCAGCCAGCAGGCACAGCAGACCACGGAGGACATCCCTGAAGCCCAGGGGAAGCTCAGCGCTAAGTCGGGGGGGGGAGGTCCAGCCCCTCACTGCCGTCGGCTGATAAGGGACGTGTCAGCGCAGCTTTTGGGGCCGATAACCGGAGACCCACCAGCCTCCTGCGCTCCTGAGCACTTGCTGCGTGGTGACGGCCTCTGGGTCGTGCCTGGCCGGGCTGGCTGCAGATCAAAGGCTGGCAGAAGACCCGTTCGCCAACTCTTAGCTGTGCCTGCCCCGGATTATTGCAGTAAGAGGAGCTGGGAGGCGTGCCGTGGTTGCACCGCATAGCCGCACTGCTGTATGGTCTCGGAAAAG